ATATAGTTCATATTAGCCAAGTCAGAGACATTACCATATACATTATCATCCACTGGTACCTTCATTTTAGAAAAAAAAAAGAAAAACTTTTAAGAATCTCTGCTCTTTTCCCTCTCACCCCAATATATAATTTTTTTTTTTTTAAAGGATATCAGGACCAGCAGTTAGCATAATGGCTATGTCGCTGGACTCCCATGTAGTCGACCGCGGTTTGCGTCCCGGATCCGGTGGCTTAAAACTCACGCCGGGCGCGTGTGCGTGCGTGCCCAGGATCCCGAGAGGAGAATGGAGGAGAAGGGATTGCGGCGTGACCATCCCCCCTGGGGGGTGATTTCTCGCTTTCTGTCTCTCTGTCTCTCTCTGTCTGTCTGGTGAGCACATGTGCCCTATAGTAAAAACCTCTCCAAAAAAAAAAAGGGGGGGGTATCTTTAGAATCATAGGCTTCAGTAATAGTATAAATTCCAGCACTTGAGAAACTAGTTTAAACTAATTATCATCATCTGGCAGTTTGAAAACCCTGACGTAGGGTAGTTCTCGACTTTCAGTGTACATTGGCATTTACCTAGAGAGTATTCTAAAGAAATACTGATTGGGGCTGGCAGGTAGTGTGCTGGGTGAGGCACTAGACTCCTACATGGCCGACCGCGTTCGACTCCCAGACTTGTGGCTTGCTTTTTCACTTTCTCGTGAGCACAGGTGCCCTGTACCAAACTTAAAAAATAACAATAATGATGGGAACCAGCAGTTAGCGTAATGGCTATGTCGCTGGACTCCCACGTAGTCGACCGCGGTTTGTGTCCCAGACCCGGTGGCTTAAAACTCACGCCGGGCGCGTGTGCATGCGTGCCCAAGATCCCGAGAGGAGAATGGAGGAGAGGGGATTGCGGTGTGACCATCCCCCCTGGGGGGTGATTTCTCGCTTTCTGTCTCTATGTCTCTCTCTGTCTGTCTGGCGAGCGCACGCGCCCTACAGTGAAAATCTCTCCAAAAAAAAAGAAAAAGGAAAAAAAAATAACAATAATGATAAAATTAAATAATTCTTTAAAAAAATAATGACTTAGGGCTGCCCCATGGCCTAGTGGTTAAGGGAGCTGGATCCCATATGGCCAAATACTGGTTCAAATCCCAGTCATGGCAACTTAAAAAGCATGCCGGATGTGTGTGTGTGTAGGTTCTCCAAATTCAGACAGGGCAGAAGAGAAGGGATTATGGTGTGATCACACCCCATTGGGGGTGCTTTCTCCCTCCCTCTCAATCTCTCTCTCTCTGGTGAGCACATGTGCCTTCTAGCTAATAGAAAGAAAGGAAGAAAAAAAGAAGGAAGGAAGGAAGGAAGAAAAGAAAAGAGAGAAAAGAAAAGAAAAGAAAAAAGAAAAGAAAAGAAAAGAAAAGAAAGGAAAAGGAAAGATAGACGGACTGATTTAATTGGTCTGGAGAGCAGTCCATGCATGCGAAGTTCAGATGTTCCCCAGGAGAGTCTAGCGTACAGCCACTGTGCTGAACCACTAGGCTGGAAGGACTTCATTTGCTCTTCCCTTTGAGAGCTGGCATTGTGCCGGTTTGGAGTGAGCAAGTGAGAGGTAGAACCCAGGCTTCCCTCCTGCCAAGTACCCTGAGCCATCACTGATCATCTTTCTCCTTCAGCTGAATACCTGGAAGCCCAGTTTCTTAGGGCCGATGGAGAAGGAGCAGCTGCTCAGGTGCTTTCCGTGGCGATCATGTTTTCCCAGTTAAAAACGGCGAGTGCTTATTGACTTCAGGGAGAATGGGAGCGTCTCTTTGAAATTGTGACTGGAATCTTGGCTCTAAGGTTTCCGTAATTATACCTCACAGCCTGCTCTGCCCTCGTCTACCCGTAATACTGGGAGTTCACAGCTAGGCCAGAGCTATGCTGAAGGCTGAGCTGTTCAAAGCAAGGGGCTGCCGGAACCTGTGTTAAACAAACTGTGTGTCTCATACCAGTGAATCCGCACAACAACGTCAAGGTACGCGCTATTGTCCCCAGTTCACAGCCCTCGTCATTGAGACTAGAGGGTTAAGTCACTATATCCGGTCATATGGCTTCGTACCCAGGTGAAGGTGGTGGTTCTTTCCATCACTACCACCCGAGGGAGAGAAGGAACCCTTGGCCAAATGCGTGAACTCAATTACAGCGGCATTTGTGTTGTTCAAGGAACCGCTAGCTTGTTTTGCACATGGGGAAATGTTCAAGCTTGTTCCCTTTTCAGCTACCCCGCCCCTGCAAACCTCGGGGCTGCTTCTGCTGTTTCATAGTTTGCTGGGTGGAAGTTCCCCATTCTCACCACTCCGTCCAGTGAGGGAACCCCTGGCCTCCGAGAGCACAGACCCACCCCGTGCTTGCACTATCCTGAGGCTAGTGTGCCCTGCCACCTGTGTGGGCTCCCGTGCCTTTCCTGTGGCTGTCCTTCATTATCACACACAGGGACAGCGTCCTGGGGAAGGAGGGAAGGCACGTAGTGTGATTCCCATTTCACTGAGTGAACTGAAGCACAGAAAATCCATCCTCATACTAATAAGCGAGTTAGTGTTAAGAGTAGAGCTTAGTGGGAATGGCAGTTGGCCTAACAGCTATGTTGCTGGACTCCCATCTAGTCGACCTCAGTTTGAATCCCAGACCCGGTGGCTTAAACTCACGCTGGGTGCGTTTGCGTGCGTGCCCAAGATCCCTAGAGGAGAATGGAGGAGAAGGGATTGTGGCATGGCCATCCCTCCTGGGGGGTGATTTCTCACTTTCTGTCTCTGTCTCTGTCTTTCTGGTGAGCACACACGCCCTATAGCAAAAACCTGTCCAATGGTAGGAAAGGTCATTATACACACATTCAACTGTCAGAGTTTTAAGTTCTAAAGGAGAAGAAAGGTGATTGTAAAATAACAGACTTTCCACAGGGAAGAAAAACAACAGTAGATTGAAATAAGGGATAAATATTTTGGGGAGAGAGAGCCTGAGAAAAGGCAGAGGAGTAAGGTACAAAGTGTGCCCAGAAAAGACTGGGAAACTTGCTGTGACTGGACTGGAGGGAGAGGTGGGTGGAGGGGAAGGCTGGGAGATGAGGACAGAAGGGGAATGGGGGCCAGCTAGTGAAGGGCCTTGAATGACAAGTTGAAGGTTTGGCTGGAATCCACTGGCACTTATGAACAAGTACAGGTGGGTACAGCCACATGTCGCTGGGCAACAGATGGGGGGGCAGGGGAGCAGTATCCTGGGAGAAACTAGGAAATGAGCCACACGGGGAGGGTGAGGGCTAGAAGGGCTTAGGCACAGGCTAGGGTGTGGAAAATGATCCCGGCCAAGGATATTTGGGGAGCTGCAGGTGTATTCTCTCCCAGGTTTAG